ACAGGGGTAGGCAATCCAAGGCCCGGGGGCCGGATATGGCCCCCCTAGGCCTTTGGACCGGCCCCAGGCCGGTCCTGCCGCTGCCGCCGCCATGATTATATTGATTATTGCTGTTATTACTTGTTCTTGGGTTTTTCTTGGCAAAATCTCCACAGGGGTTTTGCCATGGCCCTTCTGGGGCTGAGAGTGTGTGCATGCATATATTTGTTTTATTTATTTATTTATTTATTTATTTATTTATTTATTTATTTATTTATATTTATTATTTTTGGTGCTTCGGCCCCCCAATTGTCTGAGGGACAGCAACCTGGCCCCTGGCTCAAAAACGTTGCCTACCCCTGCCTTAAAACCTTTAACTCCTAATAGAAAATGAGTGGTTTTAATAAACAGGAACTAATGAATATTTTAAATAAAAGGAGCTTAGAATATATATATTTAAGAATGAAGGTGTGACACATACCTCCACCTCTTCCCCTGTAGTATACATGAGTTCTGTCACCAAATTAATGGCAGCAGCTTCACCACAAACATGGATTTCTTCTGCACAAAGTCCTGAATACAAAAATACATGCAAGGAAAAAAGAATTTCAAAGCAATTTACTGGATCACACATTTATTTTTTACCGTAATAATGCAAAAAACCTGCATCGTGTCATAGCTAGCAATACCCAACAAGCACTAACCAGCACAGACCTCTAAACTAGCACACCTCCATTCAAATGGTCACTGGAGTTCAAAGCCATGGTTACAAAGAGATTTTTCTGTGTATTAGTGCGCCAGAACAGCTGTGTAGTATACATGAAAGGGAAGCCATACAAGTCAGCACCTTTGGATATGATCTTTCAAAAAAACCAAACTCACTTAAGACATACCTAAAAGAGCTCGTGTCCAGGCCCAGCCTCGAGAAGGATCTTTAATCATCTGAATCTCATCAATCACAGCTACTTCATCTGAAAAAACAACAACACTGATAGTAGGGTGTGCAGTACAATACACCTAAAATTCAAAGGCACAATAGAGTGTGGGTCTACACTACAGAAATAATGCAGTTTGACACTTTAGCTGCCATGGTTCCATCCTACAGGATCCTGGGATCTGT